TGCGGACTGTACTGAAACTCAGAATTGCGTAGATGGTGTGTGCGTTGAAAAGGAAGAACCAGAAGTTGAAGATCCATGTGTGGACTGTACCGAAACTCAGGATTGCGTAAGTGGTGTGTGCGTTGATCAGGAAGAACCAGAAGTTGAAGATCAGGAACAGCCAGAAGTTGAAGATCCATGTGCGGACTGTACTGAAACTCAGGATTGCGTAGATGGTATGTGCGTAGATCATGAAGAACCTGAAGTTGAAGATCAGGAACAGCCAGAAGTTGAAGATCCCTGTTCAAACTGCACCGATACTCAGGAGTGCGTAGACAATGTATGCGTTGACCAGGAAGAGCCAGAAGTTGAAGACCCCTGTGCAAACTGTACCGAGACTGAGCAGTGCGTAGATGAGGCATGCGTAGATTTGGATCCGTGTGCTAATTGCACTGCACAAGAGATCTGTGTTGAAGGAGTATGTAGCACACCCATTTGTGATGGTGACTCTGACTGTCAAAATGGCGGAACCTGTGATGTCGTTAATGGTACCTGTTCCTGTGCCACCGGTTTTGAGGGCGACAACTGTGAAACCCCGATTGCATCTTCTTGTGCCTGTACTGCAGAGGAGATCTGTGTGCTGGGACAGTGCGTGGCTCGTAACTGTGCTACCGACGCCGATTGTCAAAATAACGGAACATGTGTTGCTGATACTGGAAATTGCACCTGCGTTTCAGGCTTCGAAGGTCCTACGTGCAGTATCGCAATCGACCAATGCCTTGGAATCTGCACTGAAAATCAAGAGTGCATCAACGGTGCCTGTGTAGAAAAAAAACCGGAGAAAATCACCTGCGGTGTTGCTACCGAAGAATTGGTAGTCAAATGTAAAGTCGACCAAACAGTTGAGACAGGTGTTGAATGCTGTCGATCTGATGATAGCAAGTGCGAAGGCCTCCCTATGTGTAAGTCAGAACTATGCTGCAAAGACCCAGCACCACCCAGCGCTGCTCCCACAGTATCCCCAATGCCGTCACCTCAGCCTCAGGATATCACATGCGGAGAGAAGTACAAGGAAGGTGGTCTAAGATGTGATAATCTTAGTGTTGAATCTGTAGAGACAGGTAAAAAGTGTTGCCGAGAGTACGGCAAATGTGGTAGTCTGTCTCACTGTTCAAATGATTTCTGCTGCAAAGTTAAGCCCAGTCCCAAGCCAAGTCCCTCTGCACCACCAAAATGTGAGGGAGCTGATGATCGAGGTAAATGTCCAGAGCCTGTAGATCACCACGTCTCGTGCATAACAGGAGTGTATGAAGGTCACGTGAAATGCAAAACAAGCGAGTCCGTTTTGTATCAAGAATCATGCTGTCGTTTCGCAGGTAAGTGTGGAAGTTTGAAGACTTGCACTTCAGGCAACTGCTGTACAACGGACGCCACGCCCCTACCATCGCCATCGAAGAAGCCACAAGCACCTAGTTACAAGATTAAGTGTGAGAATAAGTATGGCCTCGAGTGTTATGAGGGATACGACAAGAAGGATGACACTCAGTGCTGCAAATACAGGGGTGTATGCGGAAGCACGCCATACTGTAACAAGAAGCAATGTTGTCAACTCAAACCTGACGAGATCGCCAAGCCTGTACTTCCCGTAGATACCGTAGGTGCCTGCTGGTGTGACGGCGTAGTTCTGAACAACAGGTGTTACCCTACTCTCGAGTCTGCGATTGCGCGAGCAGTGAATGATGATGTAATCTACATTGCCAATAATGTCACAGTTGAGAACCCCATTGATTTCGATACGGATTTAGTGTTTGCTGGTGTCACTTGTGAAAAGGACAGAGAGATGCGCGCCCATATCGTTGCTGATTTTGACTCTGACACCGCGGCCATACTGCATGCCAGCAACAAGGAGGAACAGCATGTGAGTATCCAGTACTTGGGTGTCACTGCCAAGGACGGTAAATCTGCCGCCTTTTTCCACGGACTAGGAGAAGAGGAGAACGCAGGAGACCAGAAGTTGAGTCTCGAGTTGACCAACGTGGTCGTTTTCAATATGCACTCAACACGTCCGGGCGTGGGTGTGTGGATGGGTCAATCCGCCGGTCTGATTGTCGATCCCGACTGCGTGTTCATCAACCTCACTATGAGTAGCAATGACGACGATAGATATGCAGGAGGAGCTGCAATCGCGGTCAAATACTTGCCATCAAAGGCTAGTATAGTGATTGGTGGTACATTCGCTAACAACTCGGCGTTTTACCGCGAAGGTTCTAAACACAGTGGTGGCGGTGCCATCTGGATGGATTGGATAGAGGGTAGCACCATCTTCACAGCTCAGTTCCTGAACAACAGCGCCAATCAGGTATGTACTGTACAATAGTTCGTTCTTCGGTGTGGTCACAGTCGTATACATCCAAAGGTTCAAAACTTGTACTTTCAAATCAAAAATTTCATTTTTCTTTCTTCAAAATACTAACATGTTTTACATACGTCTCGTTTATTCAGGGTGGTGCTGTGATGGTCCAGGAAGTGCTCGGTAACATGATTGTTGACGGACTGTTCCAGGACAATCGTGCAATCGATGATGGTTACGGCTCACGAGCCGGAGCATTCCGCTTGTGGAAACTGAGAGAGGGTTCGCAGGTTTTGATCAACGGCACCTTCATTGACAATATCGCTCAAGGTCGTGGTGGTGTTGTTGCCACCAACATACACGAGGAGGATTCTGTTCTCATATTCGACGGTATATTCCAGAGCAACGTCGCCACTGATGTTGGTGGAGTTTGGAGTCGATGGTCCAATGACGCTTTCGAAGGCAGAGTTATTCTTGACGGTGAGTGTACTTTCGAGGGCAACCGCGCGTTTAGTGACTTCGATCAGTCGGATATCTACAGCATCTCTGGCACCAGAAGGGACAAGTATTCCGAGAAAGAATGGGAAACACGTGATAGTCGTACACTATACATAGATTAAGCGCGCCTGTCAAGGTATTTTGAGGGTACAAACTTGTACCAAAGAGTGACCCTAGGTTGTATTAGTAGGGGAAAACCAATTAACATCCGACACAGTATCGGCGAATGCATGCCGAATTGCAACGTCAATAGATAAAAATCATTAAAAAATACAAATTGATAGACATGACAGTCGTTGCTGTGTGCGTATTGATTAAGGTGGGAATACTTGGATCCCTTCGTTCATGTTAATTTGTGTATGCTTTTGCATTGAACAGCCTTGAAACATCATATTCATAAATTAACTATTGCTTACAATGTGTATTTATCAGCAACTCAGCGTGTAGCGCAAACGAGAAATATATTGGCAAATTTTTATAGCTTTTGTTTGGAAAGGTAGTGCATTTGTTCATGAAGTTATACATTCCGCTACTAAATGAGAGTAACAACAACTTCGAACATCGTCAGAGCTCGTAGCCCTATGTCGTCCTTGAGAGTCTGATTAGCATATGATGTTGTTCAAGTGTTCGACTATATGATTGTCACATATATTGCCCTATCCCGTCCTTGGGGAGTCTGATTAGCATATAATTGTTGTTCAAGTGCTCGAGTATATTATTATGACATATATATGCCCTATCCTGTCCTTGGAAGCTTGATTAGCATATGATAGTTTAAGTGATCGTATATATTATAATGACATATCTAAGCCATATCCCGTCCTTGGGAGTTTGATTAGCATATGACTGTTTAAGTGCTCGTCTGTATTATCACGACATATCTAAGCCATACATATATATATGCCCTATCCCGTCATTGGGAGTTTGATTAGCATATGATTGTTTATGTGCCCTTTTATATTATCATGACATATCTAAGCCATATCCCGTCCTTGGGAGTTTGATTAGCATGTGATTGTTTAAGTGCTCGTCTATATTATCCCGACATATCTTCCGTCCTTGGGAGTTTGATTAGCATAGGATTATTTAAGTGCTCGCCTATATTATCATGACATATATATGCCCTATCCCGTCCTTGGGAGTTGGAGTAGCATATGATTGCTTACGTGCTCGTCTATATTATCAC